AGAATAAATACAGTGAGACTTTACCCACACAGTAAGTAGATCTGCATACCTATTGGCAAAAGTAAATAATATCCAAGGTACTACATCAGAACTAGTGAGAGCACAATTGTGAAACTAAAATGCAAGTTTTTCCAATATACGAATCATTACATTTAAATTATCCATTATAGTTTGCCTAATGAATGTTTTAAACATGTTTAAGTCAAATTTTAGACCTAATAATAATGGAAACACTTTATCCACAATCTGTAAATATCATTGTAACCATATCAAAATCCTACTCATATACAGACTTGGAAGGATCAAAAAGGCATTCTTCTAATTCATAAGGGATTCCTTTCCTTATGAATTAGAAAAATTGCTCATGATATTTCATGAACATGGGGGCTGGATTCCAAGATGTCTTTATTTAATGGAAGAAAAAGAAAGAAGACCTAAAAATGGCAAACAAATGAAAAGCCATCGGTTGAATATTCAAGTGCCTTCTTTGGTATCCATTTGCAACCAAAAAAATCAAGGATCTGTTTTGGTGACCAAATCTACACAGCTCTCTGTGCATTAAGGAGTTGTGTACACATATGAAAATCGGCACTGCAATGTTCTACCAGACCATAGGCCTAATGCATGATGATATCCATGAAAAGCTATATTTTATGCTTTGCACACTTTAAAGGGGTTGCACAACTAATATCTTAATAGATATTTAAAAAACTTCAAAGGCACAATGGAATCAACTATTTTATACATCTATGAAAATATCTATAAGTTTTTATCTTCTTAAACTGACAGAAAATAGACTAGAAATCCAGAGAGAAATTGAGATCTCATTGAAGCTGATTTTACTTCTATGGTAGAAGAGTGTGTAGTACAAATAGTATACCAGCTAGGAATAACAATTCAGATGCTACTCTTGAATTAAAAAGAAAAAAAATCCAAACATACCTCTGATAATATGGACTTCGAAATTCTCCAGAAAAGAAATAGCTAGAATGATTGCCAAGTAAAGTCTCATGGTTGATCTTTTCCTTAGGACGATGGGGAGATGAATATTTCAAGGCTCATTTCAACACACTTATGTACTCTCTGGACTTTCGGAACAAGGGGTGTAATGGTAAGGATGAGAGATGGAAAATATTTTTAAAAACCCCACCTGTTCATATTTTAAGATAGAAGAGGGAAAAAAAATCCCCTCTTCCGTTCTATCCCCCAATCACGAGCTTTTTCCTGCCACAATGTGGTTATGTCTGCAAAAAAATGTCACAGTTAGTTTTATTCTAAGTCTAAAAGAAAGTTTTCTTCTGTCCACAGTGGAAACCAATAGTGTGACTACGGTTTTATCACCAAGCTGTGGATTTACAACACTATACAAATTAGGAAATCAAACTGCTAGATCAGAAGACCTGACCATAGTAATCTAAATTTGCTATCTATTTAGAGAGAGACATAAATATGGGCATTATTTCTCAGGACTTCAATGAATAAAACATTACCAATATGAAATTAAAATATATGTGTGTGTATATATATGTGTGTGCGTGTGTGTGTGCAGGTCTTGGTGTGTTCAGGTCTTTTCCCATGTAAGATTGACACGGGAACAGACCTGAACACACCAAGACCTGCATACCTTTTCCCCTTGAAAATCTACATACATACATACATACATATATATATATATATATACATTTGTTTTCTTAAGTTTTCGTGGGTACTTACAGATGAACACTATACAGAAGCCTGATGATGGCAGATGAGATTCTGCCAAAACGTTGCTACAAGTTTAAAAGCACAACTACAATGACGTGGGAAAATACCCGAACGAAGCTGAATGCCATATATGTATGTATGTATGTATGTATGTATGTATATTCCAAAATATAATATGATGAACTATTGATAAATTATATTTCTTCGCCACAGACCTACATATTATACCAGTTGAAATGGAGACTAAGAACAGTTTGGAGATAGATGCTTCTCCATAAGGCTTTGTAGGTAGCCTCAGTCTAAATAATGTTTCAAAGTTATTTTGTTTATTTAATGGCGTAACTTCATGGTTAGTGTTTGAACTGCTTAAAGGAAGGACAATATGGGTATAAAGTATGCCATTAAAATATTACTTGTTGGAATAATTAACTCTCTGTAGGGTTAGCTAATCTAAAATGCATGGCATGAAAATTTTAAAAAAGGAAGAAGGAAGGAGAAAAACACCAAAACCAGCAGCTTGTTTTTAGTTATGACCTTTATATAATGAGGAGCCAACTTAATAATAATTGTAGGGAAGATGATTCTTAAATGATAAATACGGTTCCTCCCTTCTACAACCAGACCCATGTACTAATTACTGTGGGAATTACACTCATCATGTAAACTACACTGAACTATGAGACAACTCCTACATATTTATCTGTTTTCAGTGGTCAGTGCAGTGGACCAGTTGACGACACCTGCAATGAAACAGGATGGGAGTCACACCATTTGTTCTCAGAAATAATGTAGTGAAAATGACCAACCCTAAAATTCCATAGAAATGGCAGAAGTAACTTGATTTTTTTTCCTGGCCCCTACCATGATAACATTTTAAAGAACTGCCTTAGGCACCATTTCTGCCACCTTATACATCATAACTGTATTGCTGGGATTTCAACTTGACTGGGAAAGGGAGAAGAAGAAAAACCCTGGATATTGGACACAACGTCTCTGCAGATTCCTTCAGTCCTTTGAGAAATACACAAATACTCTGTTGGATTTTGTTGGCTAGGCAGATGTAACTGAAGGTGGGCAGTGCCATAAATAGCCCTGTTCTATGAAGGTCTTTATAGATCAGTGGTTCCCAAAGTGGGCAGTACCGCCCCCTGCGGGGCGGTGGGATGCCTTAGGGGACGCTAAGAGGCAAGTGGGCTGGCAGGGGGCACTAAGAAGCGGCAGGGGGGTGTTTGAGGTGCTGGCCCTGCAGGTTCATCCATTGACTTAGCCGGCACCTCCAATGCGGAAGCAATGGCGCGTTATCTGCTGCCACGGCCACGTTTGATGTGCTGCCCCCCTGCCACCTCTTAGCGCCCCTCTGCTGGCCCCCTTGAGGATGCTAAGAGGCGGCAGGGGGGCATTCGAGGCACCAGTCCTGCAGGTTCACCCATTGACTGTAGCACCGCTCCGGAGCCAGCAACTCTAAGGTGGAAGCAGTGGCAAATTATGTGCCACCGCGGCAGCTTTCAATGCACCATCCCCCTGCCACCTCTTAGTGTCCCAAGGGGGCTGGCAGAGGTGGAAGGGGTGGAAGGTGGAAGCTGGCAGAGGTGGAAGAGGTGGAAGGGGGGTGTTCGAGGCACCAGCTAGCCCTGCAGGTTCACCCATTGAGGCACCAGCTCCGGAACAGTGCTACAGTCAATGGGTGAAACTGCAGGGCTGGCCGACGCCTCGAATGCTGCCCTGCCGCCTCTTAGCCCCCCTCTGCCGGCCCCCTTGGGGACGCTAAGAGGCAGCAGGGGGGCATTCAAGGTGCTGGCCCTGCAGGTTCACCCATTGACTGTATTAATGCTCCAGAACCGGTGCCTTGAATGCAGCAGCATGTTGGGAAAAGCCGCTGCCACCGCTTTCCCAAAGTGCCACCGCTGTTGCATTCTGTCTGTTTGTCCGTCCATCCATCCATCCATTCATCCAAAAGGTTTGTCTGTTTGCCTGCCTGCCTGCCTACCTACCTGCCTGCCTGCCTGCCTGTCTCTCTCTCTCTCTCTCTCTCTCCCTCTCTCTCTCTCTCCCTCCCTCCATCCATCCATCCATGTTCGAAGCGCCGGCCCCACTGGCACATTGGGAAAGTAGAGTAAAGCCAGTCTGAGAGGGAGGGAGGAATGGAGGGAAGGAGGGAAGGAGAGAGAGAGAGAGAGAGAGCAGATGCATCAGATTGAATGAGGCCTAATTTAGACTGAGACTCTTTTCCACATTGAAACATCTTTGCCAACACATTGAAACCTCTTTGGCTTCTATTAAAGATTTTGTGGACAAAACATTGTCAAGACTATCAGGAAGCTCTCACATTTTGTTGACGCTTTAAACAAGATCCATTGGACCAGATCTCCACCCTAAAAATTACTTTTCCCCAATGTATTACAGTGCCAATTCTGAAAAAGGCAAAACTAAAATGTACTGGTAAATTACAAGAAGAACACACACACACACACACACTCCCTTCTAACCCTTCTGGAGCAGGTGATTGGACTAGAATAGATATCTCATTATCTTTCTCCTCCCTCCTTCTTGATTTCTTTTTCTTTCTCTCCCTTCCTTCCATCGCCCCCCCTCTTTCTTTGTCCCTTTTTCTTTCTTTCCCTTTTCTCTTTATTTTCTCTCTCTTATTCTCTCTTTTCTCTCTCTCTTTCCCATTCTCAGGCTCATCTCTTTGGATCAGGGGTCGCCAAACTTTTGGACCTCAGGGATCACCAAACTCATAATTTTCCCGGAGACCACTAATATGAATTTTGACTGATGGTGGCTTTCTGGTGTTGGTGGGAGAGAGAAAGAGAGAGATCTGATCCAACCTCTCTCTCTCCCTCTCTCTCACACACAGGCAGGGTGAGATTTAGACCCCTGATCTAAAGCTGTCAAAACTCCAAAAACTGGTCAAGTATGTCTGGACAGGCCAGTCATAAATTAGAACACTTGCTAAACAACCGGTCATTAAGTGAGGACTACTTGTATTTGGTTTGCCAGTCACCTGGCCATGCCCACCCAGTCACATGGCTAGCAAGCCTCGCCCACCCAGTCATGTGACCAGCAAACCACACCCTCAAATTAAGCTACACCCACAGAAATTTGAATCCTACCCCTGGGTGGGGGGCACCGAGGATGAGTTTGTAGTACCAAGGGGACAGTGGACTGAAAAAGTTTGGGAACCACTGTTATAGATGATAACTAGCCCCTTAAATTGTTTCCTGGAGCCTATAGAAATCCACTGCAGTTTACCAAGACATAGCTTTACATAGGTATACTCTGGTGCACACATGTCTTCCAGTACTGACACATTCTGAACCAACTCTATCTTTCAGATGGTACTTCAAGAACAGCCTTAGGCAGATCCTGCTGTGGTAATACAAGCAGGAGGTGACCAAAGCACGGATGACTTTGTGCAGGGTTTCCCAGTCTCGGAGTTGTGCAAAAGCTATCCTGGTCACAGGTCTCACCTGCTCTTCAAGCAAGGGCCATGAGTCCTAGAGAACCCCAAGTTGTATACCAGTTTTGTCTGGAGAATTGCAACTCTATCCAGAACTAAAAATGAAAAAATTCCAAATCTCACCCACACATCATCAATATGAGTCACTGATCTGTCATTTAATTATAGCACTAGTAGGCCGGATATAGACCACACAAGGGGTGGTTCTTCTGGGGAACAGGCAAAAGGTTGTATTTCTTTTAGTTTGAAATACTAGAACTTTACAGACCCTCAAAGGGATTCTTGGCTTTGTTGAATATCTGTGTAATGCCCCACTGAAAGGTGAGGAATAACCTGCTGTTTGTTGGTGCATGTGCAGAAGCTACATTTTTTTAGAAGGAACTTCTGATTGATGCAGATTCCCCACTTTAACCAAGGAAAAGCAAAGTATCCTCTGAGACTTGTTTAGGGAATGTGACACATCTTTGTGAGCCTTGTCCAAAGAAAGGGCATTTTTGTAAAATATCATTTATTTATTTATAGATATGCATCTGCAAGGTTTATATAGGAATTCCCATTTTAAATATTCAGTAAATGATGCTCCTATATTAGCATTTCTTTAAACAGATTTTTATCATTTAATATTCAGAGTTTTTTTTAAAAAAAATACAAATTGCAAAGAAGGGAAAACAAACAAATTAAATCGAGGTAAAAATGAAACAGTAGAAAAACATATACTGCATTTGCAACAAATACTGCATATACTGCATTTGCAACAAATAATTCAGTTTTAAGTTCAAGCTTCCATCTTATGTTTTCCTGGTCACCATCAAGTTGTTCCATAAGGCAGGAAATGGCAGCTAAGTGATGTAGATCCATTTAGGGCAATCCCAACTATTGCTGACACCTCCAAACTTTTAGTCTGCAGGCTCAGCCATGCCACTACAGGATTGGTAATCCTTGGGCAGACAAAATCATATTGGTTCCAATAGATAGATAATAGATATCTATTATTGTTGATAGATAATAAGCTTGAAAGTACAAAGGCATTACACTATAAATCTGGGATGGTGCA